TTATGAATATCATTTCTATATATAATTTATAAGACTCGAGTTCATGAAAACATGCATGTATGATTGAAATTTCAAAAGCATTACAGGACTTTTGAGCTTGAATACTGTGCGTTATCTCCATATATTTCATGTATAATCATAAAGGATAATATATACTTAGTGTAAACTGTGTAATATTGAATACATGTAAAATGCATATAGGCCTATAACATGCAGTCTAATAATAAGGACATCAGGGAGAACCAATATTTTTTTTTTCTCGCTGAAAACGCATTTATGACAATATATATCATTAATAATAACTACAAAAGGTATTTAGAAAAAAAGTATTGATTAGCATTTAACATTTTATGGTTTAAAATGTTATAAATCTTTTCAAGTCTATCGTCACTTATCTAAAATGCACCAGCTTCCAAGGGCTTCGTACCCAGAGTCCCCTGGACTTCGGCTTTGTCTCATCGGGGCCTTATGCTCCCCCCCCCCCCTCCCCGCCATTTTATGCTTCCACATTGATCGACCCCAAGCTATGCCACAAGATGCGAATTTGGAGTTATAAAAGGCCTGTATGTACAAGTCAACCAAATTACAGAAATTCAGTGTATAACAAAAACATGTATATCTATGGCCATATATGGCACGAAAAAAGACACCAAATAAATAAACACCGTGCGTTTCATAAGTCTACCCAACCCAAATTTTGATTTATAAATTAGGGTCCCCATTTTTCTCTGTTTGTTTATGAGGGACTGAGTTTAGGTCCCCAATTCTGTTTGCTTATGAGAAGATGGGTCCCCTAATTTTACACAGAGTCCTCAGATTGGCACTTCCGGGTCCCCATTTTCTAAATTCATGGAAATATCATTCAATCTCAAAGACTCACTCAATCTACTTAAACCAGGATACTTACGAAGTAAAATGAGTTAAACAATACCAAATATGTCATGAAATCGCTTAGTCCCCATTTTAAGTTTTTATGACAGAGTCCCCAGATCGGAGTCCATACACGTATGTGTGTGTGTGTGTGTGTGTGTGTGAGGGTGTGTGTGTGTGTGTGTGTGTGTGTGTGTGTGTGAGGGTGTGTGTGTGTGTGTGTGTGTCCAGGGGCCCTCGGAAGAGGCACACGATTGCTTATCATAACCACGCACTTGGTATGTTTCCTTAATAACAATAGGCAAAGAAGATTTCCAAAAAGCATAATGCCCTCTACTATATTTATTCAAAACAATCTCACCCTAACACCAAAATCCCTGACCCTGGGGTTATGAATTTCAAACTTTCTACAAAAATCCTGACAAAGATACATAGCGGGTTCCAGTAAATGTTCTACCAAGCCTTCTTCTTTATCTTCTCTAAAATATAAGTCGCTGCGTGCGCAGTGGTTATAGCGTTCGCTCTAGAGTCGCGGAGTAAGGAGTTGATTCTTACGTCGCGGGTCCGAATTCCAGTGGGACGTGGAGACCGGTCCTTCAGATGATACCGAATAGACCGAGGTCCCGTGTCGCAGTAAGTTATGGCACGAAAAAGATCCCTCACTGTTCAATGGCCCTGAGTGCCGAATATAGGTCAAAATTTGCAGCTCTCCATTGGCAAGTGGTGGCGTCTCCATATGAGTGAAAAATTCTCGAGAGGGACGTTAAACAATAAACAAACAAAACAAAACAAAAAACTAAAATATTAACAGCAGTGAAGGAGAAACTTCTGGAGTACTGTGAAACAAAATAATCGAGAAGTGGTGTAAATCAGATGTGGATACTTAAAGATCACCTGCAATAACGGCGATTTCTTTTAGATTAGGAGATCTACACAAATAAAATTAATCCTGAAAATTTTACCGCGATCGTGCATGTAATATTCGAGATATTCGGGGAAAACCCAATTTCACACCTGAACGACTGCTTGAATCGGGTGGTTTTTGGCGCGGGGGAGAGTCGTGACGTCACGAGGTCAACATCGCCATTTTGTATTATAGAAAAACGCGTGAAGTGTCTCTGTTTACAGTGCCGTTTTTCCAGAAAACAGACAATGTTTGGGTATTTTGAGTGTGTGGACTCTTAAGCAGAACTATATGCTATTATGTGGTAACTTCATTTCCAATTTTTTTTGTGCTTTGGATGGTTTTTATGAGTGTTTTTGTGACGATGGCTGAGGACACCCCGAAGACGCAGTCGAGAGGAGGGAAGAGATGTGTTGCCTACGGATGTAGTAAATCTTACAGGGACGGCGATGTAAGTCTCCATAGTTTTCCATTTGATCGTCCTGAGATTCTGCGTCAGTGGAACAGTTTCGTTAAAACGACGCGCAAGGATTGGATTGGACCCACAAAGTACTCTGTGTTGTGTTCACAGCATTTTGATGCTGATGCGTACCCTATAAAATATCGAATCATGGAGTCTTTAGGACAGACTGTTACTAAAAAGAAATTGAATGAGGGTGCAGTGCCAACAAAACAGATAGGAACCCCCAGACAGGATGTCGTAACTCCTGGTAAACGACCAGCTGACTCTCCAGCAACCCCCTGCAGTGCCCCAAAGAGTGCAAGACGAGTATTTCAGAAAAGAGAGGCTCAGCGGGTATGTATATATATCTTTATGATATAAGGTACATTCTTATCAAAACTCAATGAATATTTTTATGTGTCATACTTTTGTTAAATCAAACAGCTGTCAAATGAAAAAGCTGGGGTCAAACCTAATCTGTTTATCTAATTTACATATATATACAGCATATAGGATTCCCAATAAAGTGTGATTCTATATAAAAAAAAATATCACAACTAACAAGCCTTGAGCGCATTTTTTATCACGCTTTATACATATAGGCAAAAAAGTTTTCTAGTTTGGTATGAAAACAACCTATAAGATTTTTCTACAGGTATGAAGGAGTAAACAAGTGATAAATACTATTTATTCAGCTGAAGTATCTTCTAAGGAACATCATAAAAACATAATTTGCATTTATTTTCAGAAGCAAAACATTTCATTGTTATAAATTGTAATTGTAGATTCTATCAGAATTCAACCAGAGGCTGCATTCTGTTGATCACCAAGATGCAAAAGAACAGGGGTTAGCAAAAGAACAGGAGGTAGCAAAAGAACATGAGGAAGCTGTTGTTGAGACAGAAAATTCACCTCCTGACCCCCAAGAACCACGGGTGAGTACTAGTATCATGACAGTTGTAAGATTATGCCAGGGCTTGTACTTTTAGACTATACTTTCAAATCTTTCGAGCAAGTAAATAGCTATAAAAAATAAAAGGAGTAAGCAAGCAATTGACATAGGTATGGCCATAGTTCGGCTAAATGTTATTGTTAAATTATGTGCAAATTATTTTGCGAGCATAATGGTATTGCCTTATTTATATTATTTACAATGCAACTGGAGACAATTATAATTTGATAACATTTCTCAGAACATTCTGGTTGCTTTACTGTTTATAAAAATATAATTTATGAAAGAGAATTGAACATTTTATAAGCAAATATAATATCATTATTTCTAAGTGAATAATATTTAATTTCTGTGCAAATTATTTGCAAAAGTGGCACAAATATGTCCTAAAAAAAGTTTTTTTTTTCTGATTAAAATTATATCTTTCTGATGGGTAACTAAAATAAATTGGAATTTTGATGCAGATTTTGGTTACCTCTGAGAGGACAGTATCTGTGAGAACCTCTGAGAGGACTGTATCGGTGGGAACACAGCTGTCAATGATGAAGCCTGCTCGAAAATCACACTTTACCCAGACAAAATATCAGGTCAAAGACCAAGGTAAATGAAAAGGAAATTTTTCTGTACAAGATGGTTGATGGATTAAAGTGTGGCAAATGAATGCATGAAATTTCAACTTATGTTATATAACTTTTAAAAATATGAAATTAAATAACTGTTTCTCTTTTTCAGTTGTTCAAGTAGGAACATCAGTGAAAGTGAAGGAGGTTGCTGTTACTTGCAACCTGCTGCAGGCCCCTCCTCTTGTGAGACTTGGTCAGGAGAAAGTCCAAGAAGAATCATCGGTTTGTCATGACACATCCTTTTCTTCAGAGGATACCATCACAGAAGATGAAGACAATGGTGATGAGGATGACGAATTTACAATGGATGACTCATATGAATCAGATGAATCAATGGAAAGTGAACAAGGGTGGGTTTGATTTATACATGTTACCTATGCACTGTATGCTAATGAATTGAAAGTTCTTGGTTTTTTTCCGTTAAGAATAACTTTTTTTTTTCTTTTATAACTGCTAAAAGATAAAATCATTATAATGTTGATTTATAGTTATTAATTTTAGAAAAATGCTATTCATCAATATGAATAAGAAATCCAAATTTGTTCTATTTTGATGCTGTATACCTCAATTGAAAAGAAATTCAATTCATTGTACTCAATATATTTTGTGTCCTGCTTGTTTTTAGTTTTCTTTCTCTGCATTTTAGGAATCAACAACCTCGGACATTTCTTGTTTACGAAACTCAACTTTTGAGCCTGTTTTCAAGTTGCCCCACATGTTCAAGTCCAACTCTAGGACAAATAGAGCACTGCCGGGGAACGTTTATTACTGTTTTCCAGGACTGTGGTGTGTGTGGGTACCAGAGAACATGGCGCAGCCAGCCGTTGATTGGCTCAATTCCTGCAGGAAACTTTGCACTTTCCTCTGCAATTTTATTCTCAGGTTTGTTTGCTTTACTTAAGGAAAAAAAAAGGAATGGAAATGTTAACATTTACATATATATGTGATTTTTATTTAAAATCTTTGTTATTTTTACATTGTTCAAGTCTCATGTCAATTTGTGTTTTAGGTTCACTGCCTTCAAAGAGTATCCGCTTGTTCAAATTTTTGAACATGGCCACAATATCCATAAGGACTTTCATGTACCACCAGCAGTACTACCTCCACCCAGTCATACAGCAGGTGTGGAAAGACCAGCAGAATGATTACTTTGAAGAAGTGCAGAGGACTGGTCGTGCTGTCAAATTAGGAGGTGATGGACGTGCAGACACGCCAGGGCATTGTGCAATGTTTGGAAGCTACACACTTATGGACTTAGAGCAGAACAAGGTGGTGGAGACTCAACTTGTTCAGGTAAAATTGCCTCAAGTAAACATTTAAGCTAAGCATGTAAGGGTTGTTATAACTTTCATTTAATTCCTAATTTGGGAAATAACCGTACGTCTTGTGTGATATGGTTGCTCACTTACCCTGTTGCATGTTTAATGATATTTATGTGATGTGTTTCACTGAATTGTTGCTCTGTAGAGACAGCTGAGTTGCACATTGATTTTATCCATATTTTTCAGAGCAACGAAGTACGTAGCAGTTGTCATATGGAGAAGGAATGGTTGGTGAGAGCAGTTCAATCCATGGAAGAAAATAATGTTGCCATTAGCCAACTTATAACTGACAGACATCTGCAAGTGGCCAAATGGGTCCGGGAAAACATGCCTGGTACAACCCACTATATCGATGTATGGCATGTAGCGAAAGGTATGTATATATAAAGGATTTAGATTTGACTTCATCTGTGAATCAAAATGCTTAAACTTAAACTTGTGGCATCGACAATTATCATATGTTACATGTCATATCTCTGTTATTAGGTTTGAAGAAGAAACTTGTTGCCTTGAGCAAAGAAAAGGAATGCGAAAATATAGGAGGATGGATCAAAAGTATAACAAATCATCTCTACTGGGTACCTTCATCGACACCAGAAGGCGAAGATGATAATGTGAAATGGGAGAAGTGGACAAGTGTGTATCACCATGTCCAGAATATTCATGTCGGCCATGGTGACCACTACCAGCAATGTGAGCATGGGGCATTGGACCCTAATGATAGACAGAAAAGATGGCTCAGGCCTGGTAAGTAAAGATTTATATTTTGCTTTTTGGATTAAATGAAAAAATGATTTTTTATTATGTAAAATTTATTAAAATTTAATGAATTGATTTCATGTAACATTCATTATTTCACCCTTTCAATTCATATAGGAACAAGGGTTGTTGAAAAGTTGGAGGGCATCATTCACTCCCGTCAAATGAAAAAGGATATCAGGATGCTATCTCCACAACTACAGACCTCCAGCCTGGAAGCATACCACTCGACCATAAATCATTTTGCACCCAAAATGAACAAGTTCTCATACAAAGGGATGCAGAGCAGGTAAAAATATACTTTTTTTTCTTGTTGTTATTATGTAATTTTAGTTGCATACCTAAATTCTTCCTAAAATGGTTATAGGCAATTAATACTAGTTAAACAAATAAACAAATTGATTTGCCACCAGAAAGCTAATTTAAACCATTTTATATTTATCTTGCAGACTGATACTAGCAGCGCTGCATTTCAATGAGAACAGTAAGCGGACGCAAGCAACAACCAAGGCCAACCAACTCAGATACAAGATAGCCTTCCCCAAACAGAAGAAGGGTGACTACACAGTCAAGAAAGTGAAGACCCAAAATACATATGGTAATATTTTTTTTTATTAATCTTGTAAAATTATGAGTATTTGTGATGACCATCAAATGAAAAATCAAAGTTTTTTTACTGTACATTTATACAAATGTTCCTGATGGGTTTGTTTGATACATTTTTTTTAATTTGTGTTCAGGATATGTTGATACGCTGTTGGAAGAGGTGACCTCCCGTGTGCAGTTTGGTGAAGTACCACCTCGTGAGGATGTTGAAGATGTACCACCTCCACTCTGTGAACAGTTTTATCATCCTGAGAAAGATACTGCAGTGCGTTCACTCTTCACTCGCTTTAACCGAAATTGAATCCTCGGTACTGGCCATCTGCTTCGGGAAATGTTGACCTGATCCTCTGAACCGCACAAGCAGGAAGTGGAACTCTAACCGTTCTTCCAAGCCAACCCCAGCACCATCTGACCAGTTGGCAATAAGCAATGTATCTAAATCGTCTGAAACATAAATACAGACTTTTTGAGCATTTTTTCATGACTGAAAACAAAATTGGCTGTTATAATAGTTGTTTCTTCATGTTGGTTTTTCTGATTTGTTATATTTTTTTAAGCATAAAAACATCCATTTTGCAGCATTGTCAATCAAAGCCTAATGAATTTTCATGTATGCATATGCATTTTTGTTATTGATCTACAAAATGTTTATTCTTATTGATATATTAAAATGATATATTAAAAATATTTGAAGATGAGACAAGTTTCATTGTAAATGTGAAAAAACAAAAATACCCATTGCATTCAGGGAGCTCTTCATAGTGTTGTCTGTAAGCATAGTATGCTGTACGCAGAACAGCATGGTGAAGACATACAGGTGGGAAATCACTGTGCTCCGTAATACAGCATTTTCCTTGCTCATCCTCAAGGACAGTCAAAATCTGAGGAATTTCTTTACAACAAATTGACTCGGGGGCTGTTGACATAGCAGGACAGTGTCCACATGTACACCTGTTAAATAAATATATAGAGATGAATTCTTTTTATTAATTTGTAACTTAAAAAATGAAATAATTAACAAAGTTTGATGTATATGGCAGCCATTTGGACACTTCACAAAGGTGTTCCTTTGCAGGGGCTATCAAATCGGAAATTTTTACATTCTACCAAACCGATAAATCCATAGTGTTTAATTAATACTTATTTTCCAAGATGCAAGGATTTTCTCTTTCCAAATGACAGGGTTGCATGTCAAATTCAGGAAAAAAAATACAAATTCTACTTTGAGGACTAATTTTATGGGTTTTCTTTCAAGAGGGCTCAAGGAACATAAATGGTGACTTCATTAAAGCAAAAAGTTTAACAAAGACACTGTTTAATTCTATTACAGAGGTTTAATTTTAATCATACACAAAAAATGACAACCATCAATTCACGATCGACTTTGTATGGTAAATGATGGGAAAATCTTTAGTACAATTCGCATGCAATCATTGTTAAAGTGTTGTATAAAAGTAAAACTGGATAGAAATAAAAGTAGTTGTAAACATTTGATAAATAATTTACTCATTTTCATTGAAAAATCGTTACAACTTACCAATCATTATTCCCAACACGTTCGGTCGGATCGATATCAGGGGATCTTGGCGTGGGTAATTCCTCGTCTGAATCCACCTCTGGTTCAAATAAATAGGGTCGAACACCAAGTCCGACGTCTCCGATGTAAGAATCGTCAAAAGAAGATGATCCAGCAGATAAAACAGAGACGTTATCGTCACTTAAACTCGCACTATCTTCACTTCTTTCCATATTAACCGCTTTCCTTGTTGACCTTATGACGTCACTTCCGCTAGAGCCTCGTTTTCGCTTAATTCTATTTTTGCTTAATTGGATTTTCAAAGCAGGTAAAAATAGCCACTTTCTAAGCGGCATAACTCTGTTATTTATTAACGGATTTTGGTGCGGTTTTCTGCTTCAAGCTTTAAAAGATAAAAACTTTAAAATAAGACGATTTTTCATGGTATTGCGGGTTCCCTTTAAAAATTTCAAAGAACTTTTGGAAAATTTGAAATCACCAAATTTTACCAAAATCAATTGCATTAAAACTTACGACTTTTCAACTTACAACCATTCCCCCCGATAAATTAAAGTCAAGGCTTTTTGACATCATTGACTGCTACTTTTTCAATAACAAGGGGCCCAAGGGCCTTTACGGTCACCTGAGTATAATACAACAATTTAGAGGATCCATAGAGTACAAATTGAACTGAAAGTTGAGGTTTCTTGCCCAAAAGCAAGAAAAATAGGGTGATCAGGATCAACAAAATAATTAGTCTAGTATTCATTAACAGTTCATAAATTAGTTTCTAATCTGTTCCCCATTTATCACTATCACCATACAGTATCTTAACAAACTATCAGTGCTTCTGTACTATTTTAATTCCTTTTTGAAATCTCTTACATTGGCGTACGTTATTTTTGTCTCATTTTTTTTATCTAATACTTAAAAGTCTACCTGATCATTAAAACTATGAAAGTACTTTTTTGTATTATACAATAAAAATTATTGCTAATTCTCTTATTCTATTAACCTTTCAATTACGTTATTTAAGTGATTAATTATCAAAAGCAAATGGCAAAGGGGAATAACTCCTCTCAGTAGAATACAAATTAATAGAGCCCTGGCCAGGACCAGAACACTTGACAAAATGGTCCAGATGTTCAAACAACACTAGAGTCTCTCACCCTGGGACCAGAAGTTTGCTCATCATAAGTAATCACTTTGTTTATTTGCTTAACACCAAGGAGCAGACAGAATTATTCAATAGAATTAATGTATTTTCACTATATTATCAAGAGCCCAACCCTTACACAAACACATCTGACCCAGGGGTCATGCATTTCCCTACTCTGGAAGAACAATCATGAAATTCACAATTTTGGAAGAAGCATCCTTGCATATCATGACAATGTACTTAGTTTGTTTAAATAATACCCAGGGGCAGAGAAGAAGATTTTCAAAGAAATAATTCACCTTCACTATAGGATCTATATAGCCCCACCCTAGCACCAGAACCTCTGTCCCTGGGCCCATGAATTTCACGATTTTGGAAGAGGCATCCTTCTTTATTATAACTATGTATTTAGTTTGTTTAAAAAATACCGAGGAGAAGAGAAGAAGATTTTCTAAGAAATAATGCACTTTCACTATATGATCTATATAGCCCCGCCCTATCACCAGAACCCCTGACCCTCAGGCCATGAATTTCACAATATTGTTAGAGTCACTCTTGCTTATCATAACTATGTATTTTATTTGTTTAAATAATAACAGGAGTAGAGAAGAAGATTTTTAAAGAAACAATGCACTTTCACTATATGATCTATATAGCCCCGCCCTCGCACCAGGACCCCTTACCCTGGGGCCATGAATTTCACAATTTTGGTGGAGGGCTCAATGCTTATTACAATCATGCCAACAGTTTGACTGCTTGATGTCCAGGTGTAAAGAAGAAGATTTTTGAAAATTGCATTAATTTTGGTGGTTTTAGCACCGCCCCTCATGCTCCAGGGGGGCAGGGACCATAAAATTCACAAATTTTGTTCCCCTTTACACATAGATGTCATATGCTAAAATTAGCTGAAATTGGTTTAGCGGTTTCATAGAAGAAGCTTAAAATGTTCAAATGTTAACACACGACGCAAGATGGACGACGGACTACGCACGACGACGGACGAAAACAGATAGCAATAGGTCACCTGAGTGACTAAGGTGACCTAAAAATGGAACTCGTAAATTTACTTATTTTGTCATTGGTCATTTGCAAAATTATTTTGTTAAAAAAACATTCTGATTGTACACACAAGTACTCTGAAGTTGATATTGAAAAGATGCTTGAGTTTTGATTGACAATATCTATGTGGTTTTTGGAGACAAGGGCTTCCAACAATCTGTTCGAATTCCCATTGGTACCCATTGCGCCCCGTTATTAGCAGACTTATTTTTTATTCATATGAAGCAGAATTTATTCAAAATCTTATACATGAGTGAAAAACCACTTGCTTTGTCCTTCAACTCGACATTTAGATATATCGACGACGTAATATTAATTAATATTAGTTATTTCCATTCATATGTCGAAACGATATATCCCAGTGACCTTGAAATAAAAGATTTATACTTGGATATTTTACTAGAAAAAGACGTTAATGTAACCTAACAACAAAGCTTTATGATAAACTTGATGATTTTAACTTTTCAATCGTCAACTTCCCTTACCTATGCAGCAATATACCCCTATCACCTACATACGGTGTTTATATCTCTCAGTTGGTTCGATACGCAAGAGCATACTCTACGTATGAACAATTTCTAAAACAAGGTATGTTATTGACAAACAAGTTGATGAAACAAGAATATCAACAGTCCTGTTTTAAGTCATTATTTCGCAAGTTCTATGGTCGATACAATGACCTTGTCAGCAAACACAATCTATTGTTAAGTCAAATGCTGACTGGCGTTTTTCATACTTATTGCTAGACCATTATTTACACACTAAATTGTCGACGGATTTTCCCGTTATTTCCCGATCATGACATGGAGACCCCGGCGGGTGTGACCAATCGGTAGGGGATGCTGACTCCTCCATGGCACCTGATCCCACCTCTTATGTTTTAGCGGACCGTGTTTGCTCCGCTCCTGATTTGTATTGTTCTAATGAACTTTTGAGCTCGAATACTGTTCGTTATCTCCATGTATTTCATCCTTGCTCATCATAATCATGCAAATTTTATTTCTGTTGAATACCAAGGGGCAGGAGAGATTTTCAAATAAAGGCATTTCCACTATATATTCAATAGATCCCTCACCCCCATATGACCACTGACCTTGGAGCCACAAATTTCAAAATTTTGGAAGAGGCATCCTTGATCATCATAACCATGCACCCAGTTTTGATATATAATCAAAAGAGACCCACCCTAACATCAGAACCCCTGACCAAGGGGCCAAGTTATTCAAAATTTTGGAAGAAGTGCACTTTCTCATCATAACTATATACTTGATTTATCTGCTAAATATCTAGGAACAGAGAAGATGATTTTCAAAGAAATAATGCACTTTCACTATATAATCAATAGAGCCCCCTCCCCCCCCCCACAAAACCTCTCACCCTGGGGCCATAATTTCATAATTTTGGAAGAGGCATCCTTGATCATCATAACCGTACACCTAGTGCATCTACTTTATATACAGGGGGTGAAAAGAAAATTTTTAAAGAATTTATGCATTTTCACTATATGATCCTTCCTTCCCCATCCTACAGTAATTCCAGGGGCCCATTTTACAAAAGAACTTACGACTAAGACCAAAATTTTATTCTGCTTATAACTTTCTAATTTACAATAAATTGAAAATGGTTTTTATCTTTTTAAAGGGAATGTACAAAGATATTTTTACGCTAACAATTTTAAACAGAATCCTTAATTTTGCAAAATTTTACAATCAACTAAAGTTTTTGGTCTTAGTTGTAAGTTCTTTTGTAAAACGGTCTCCAGAACTCCTGGCCCTGGGGCCATGAATTTCACAATTTTGGTAAAGGGTTCAATGCTTATTAAAATCATTCCAAAGTTTGACTGCTTGATGTCCAAGAGTAAAGAAAAAGGTTTTTAAAGATAACACCAATTTTGATTGTTAAAACCACCCCTCATGCCCCAGGGGGGAGGGGACAGGGACCAGGAAATTCACAATTTGTGTACCTTTTCACCAATTGATGCTATATGCCAAAATTAGTTGAAATTGGTTCAGAGGTTCAAGAAAAGAAGCTGAAAATATTCAAAAGTTTACTACCGACGGACGACGCACAACGGAATATGACGGACGAAAACAGATAGTAATAGGTCACATGAGTGACTCAGGTGACATAATAAAATCAATTTTCAACCCAAGGCAGGCTATACACAGATATGTTGATGTTACAGTAATCCTCGTTTAAAGTCAGCATTTCGTTAATTCTTTGATCGTAAAAATGACCTTGTTAGCAAATATAACCTTTCATTTGGGCGTGTTCTGGCTTATCTGTAACTTGCAAAACAAAATCCGGGTATGATTTAAGTAAATATAACCATAAAGTCGAACGAAGAGGTTGAAACGACCTTTTTTATGCCTGACTGCGATAAAATTTTCTCACAAAATACCTCAGCTTTCCTTATAAGTTTTGATTATTTTAGGCCTGACATTTGACAAGTTACATGCATGATAATGGACAAGAATTTATTGTGCATCGCTGTAAAATGGATATCTACTCTAATATTGCAAATTCCTCCCAGAATATGCACCAACTTGAAGGTTTGATGATTCTTTCCTTATCCTAACAGTTTGAAAGATACCTTCTGTGCAAACTAACAGACGGGCGGAATGCAAAACACATGCAAAACACATACCATTAAGTAGCCCTTCAAGAGAAAGCGCCTTTAAATATTTTATAATTCAGTTTATTATTCGTAAATTGTTAAATATGAAAAACATGAATTACCTTTCAGGGTAAATGACTCGGGATTAATTTCAAATAAATCTTGATGGATTTCCAATCCAACTGTAGAACAGAGATTCATAGGTATATGCCATTGGCGCATTAGTCGCCTCAATAGGGTTGTCTTACCCGCCCCTGCACACCCTACAATCATTGCATGAGCTCTGTGAATGGTTTCGGTTCCCTTTGTAGTCTCTTGGAAGTACATTTTGCTGGATTCATTATTTCTTTCTATGTATAACAAAAAAAAAAAAAAAAAATGATCTCGTGAAATTGGTC